GTGATATCACTGCAACACGTATTGGCAGTAATGAAGCCGAAAATATCAGAAATGCAGAGCTCCGAGCGCTTTCTGACAGTCTTTGTAACAAAGCTTTCTATTGGTCGGTAAACTTTCTATCGCGCAACCACATGACATACACGGTTATGAATGGTATTACCGCACGGTGTTGTAGAGGGAGGAATGTCCGAACGGAACAACACCGTGCAGGCGGGACGACGAACTGCTGAGGCATTTCTCAATGAATACCAAGATCATCGCAAGAAAATAATCCCAATATGTGAAACATCATCTTCAGGCAATTTTGAGTGAAACTGATCAATAAAAGTAGTTCGCCCCAAAAGACACATGAATCACATGTATTAGTATCTTTGTGTCACCCCTCGTCGGAAAGGTGTCCAAAGGTGTCATGTTTTTGATAAAAAAATGATTTATGCATCAAAACTTGTCTTTTTTGGCGTTTCCAATAAAAATTAACTGAATTTTTGTACAAAAGTTATAATTTGCCATGCTGCCAAAATGCAATACAATTAGTTTACAAAAATACAAATTAATTTAGAATCCCTAATTTGTCAAGTTTGTGAGGTGATATAACCTTGTCTGTCCACTTGTTTGTGATCTTCATTGCAATCTATCATGTGAGAGGAAATACCAGTGACAATAAACATTATTTGACTGATGGCACATGGGGGAAACTGGCAGCAACTGCCATAGAGGGATTCAATCTCCCACGCAGGGTTCTATTTCTATGAATATACTTTTGGTGTTCTGGCCGCAAGGATTTCTGGGAAGGAGAATGAGAGATATTGTGTGTCCCTCAACACAAAATGACAATAGAATTGTTTCCAGGTGACTCAAAGACAAACTTGACTTGTTTCTGCCACAGTAATGGAAGTGAATAGGTTTTTTTAGTACACTACACCTAACCTACTACACACTTGGGTAATTAGTTGATAATGATCAATTGGGTACATGACTTGCATTTAATGCCAAAGACACAAAGCGATAAATCGGCATATGACATGGATGCTCTGAACTCTTGAATTATGAGTTGTCTTGTGAGAAATATAGCATGACCTGTAAGTGATCTTCCCTTTTTTTTTTACAAACCACATAAACATACTGCATTTCAAACTTATTGAGTTGATTATTACGGTACAATTAGTGTTTTAAATATATCCAGTTCTTTATTTTGACATTAAAACTTACTAATGATGTTGACGTTGTACGAAGTCAAGTGATACGAACAATATAACAATCCTTACTCCATAAATTGCCCATTCGTAAATTCATTAAAAGTAGATCCTCCTTTGTTTGTTTAGAATGACAAAAATACCTAGCATTAGGATAGGTAGTGTATTGTATTTGTAGTTGCACTGTATTTGGTGCTGACACATAAGAATTATTGTAGGTTATTCGCAAAAAAAAGTAAATGCGTGACTGTAAATACACGCCAGAAAGCATGCATTTTTTAAGCATGCTATTCTGACCCTATTTTCAATTTCTTATAACCTGTGGTGTTATTAGTATTATGTGATACACAGGAATATTCTTTCAAAGTATGGTTGTGATTGGCTATCCACCATATTGCAATCAATATTGTCCAATACTGTCCAATTACAACGTCCGGCTTAAATCAATTTAGGGTAGGGAAATTGATGCAGAACAAGCATAATATCCATCAGAACTTGTAGAGTATCTTTGTGAAATATGAATAGAACTGATATGATGAACACCAAATTTATAATTTTCAAAAACCTGCAAAAGAAAAAGTTGCATGTTATTTAAAATAGAAAAAATCAAGTAATAATTAAGTTTTTAAAGTTTAATTGAATTAGTGTCTCTGTTTCTGCCTTTGCTCTATTAGAAGTGCATCACCAATAGAGGAGCCTAAGAGCCAGAAAATATTTGATGTGTTTTTAATCAACAATCAAACCCAAGTAGAAATGTTTACGCTAAAAATATTATAATAATTTGAATCGATTTAATTTTACAAATCGATTTAATTTTCGCAAATTTCAAAAGTTAGGAAAAATCATGGTTTATTTATAGAAAAAAAAAGAAGAGTGTTATAAATAAAATGAATATTAATTAAAGCCTGTTGAAAATTAAGTATTAACAATTAACAGTGGGTGTTGATTGATGTTCTGAAAATCCTCACAAAATCGTCTTTTATTAGAGCAAATATGGAACATTTAATGTGGAAATAAAAGCGATATGATAAATTTATTTATTATAATTCTGATGTCAAGTTTATTTCTTTATAAATAATAAATGTGCACTTACTGTTAAAATCTTTTTGGCATCAAATGATTCTCTCTCTTTTATTCCTCTCTGTTCTCGATTTCTTTCTGCGCTTCCTCGCACTCCTCCTGCTGCTGGGTCTTTTCTGAATAAAGTATTTATTACAGTACAGTGTAATTTCACACGGTCATAGTCTTTTTGCATCAATCCAGAAGACCCAAATTTTTCAACCAAGTTATCTGCAATGTGTTGCAGTCTGAAAGCAAAATTATATTTGTTCAAATTTACGAAGCTGAATAGATTATGTATACCCCTCTTTGATTGGTGTTCAGCTATCACATGATGCAGCAGTCCAGTGATGATTGGTTGCCCATAAATACAATCTCTATTTATTATGACTGGTAAATAAATCAAAGATATTGACAGTCTCTGTTGATTAAATCATACATTCATGGCCAGAAGTCAGGAAATTTGCAAATATTACTTTTCCCAGTTTTAATGAAATCGGGCAAAGTATCTTTAAAAATTAGTCTGAACGTGGGAATGAATTCCAGGAAATGAACAGACGAAGGCCAATTGACTGGTTACAATAAAACAGGATATACAGTCTATGGCAGAAACCTGTGAACATTTTTTAAAAACCTTTTCACTTTTTTCTGAAATTTTTTAATATTTCTGGAAATGAACCCTCAACAAACAAAATTTAAACACGACTACTTTGTGAATTTGTGATGAAACGAGGAAACTGGTGGTGAAAAGGTTACTAAACTTGTTATAAATATGAATTCAAAAATAGCTGTTGAACTTTAAATTGATCAACCCAGCTGTGGTGAATAACTTAAATGAATATTAATGAGTTAGTTCAAATCATCTCATCAGGAAATGTTTTAATTTGAAAAATTTGCAACTTAAGACCTTTACATGAAAGTATGGGTGAAGATAATGTTGAGCTTTTTAGCCAATCACAATAACATACTAGTACCGGTATTTGAAGGTTAGCTGAAGATCGGTATTTAAAAATATTTATAAATGCATTTATACTCTAAGGTACAAGTTTCTGACATGCACAGAATTCACACAACATTATAATTTAGATTTATCTAGAGCTCATAAAACAAGCCATGCATGGCACAGTCCCTGTTAGTTATCAAATTTAAGATATACATGTCAGGAATATGATTATGATGATTGTTCAACATTAAAATGACTGACATTTGTATCTGATCGTCAAACGAGTATTGAGAGATATTGCTCTGTAACAGCATTAATGATAACAAAATCAGCCATTTTGAATAAATTATACCGGTAATGAATATATAAAATTTGAACATAATCAGTCAAAGCACGCCAGAGATATGGCTCTAGAAGCCCATTCATTAAAATGAAATGAACGCTAGTCAGCCATTCTGAATTTGATCTGAAAAATAAAATGACGTACATCAGGAACCCGTAATGTCTAATGATATGTACCAAGTTTATTCATCCATAAATGCCAGAAATGCTTGATATTTGATGATTTTTTTAGCACAAAAATGTATATTTAAGACATGATATATAATGACTATTTGAACATAATCAGTCAAAGCAAGTAAGAAATATGGCACTAGAAATACATTCATTAAAACAAAATGGCCACCAGTTGGCCATTTCGAATCTTATCTGAAGAACAAAATGATGTGCATCAAGGTCCTATAATGTTCAACATATATACCAAGTTTGAACAAAATCCATCTGTAAACAGCCGAGATGATTTTTTAGCACACAAATGGCCGCCATTTGGCCATCTTGAATCAGATCGTGAAACAAATTGATGTGCATATGTATAATATCATGTATGATGTATGTGTGAAGTTTGATTGTGATTGGTTCAGACATTTCTAAGATACAGGTCCGGACACATTCTAAGATGCATGCACGGACACACGGAGGTCAAAACATAAGTCCCCGTTTTTGGACTGCGTCCGAACGGGGACTAAAAAGTAATAGCATACTTATTAGAGCCGTCTTTTGATCTAACTTTGGCATACACTACGTCCACTTCACTTGGATCATCATTCATATATTCAATGCCTTCTACATCTATCAGTAATGGTTCACTTTTCAACAATGGTCTGAAAGAGAATGCTGTTATGTTCAAAACATTTGTTTATTATTGAAGTGCACATAAAATGAAAATTACATTTATTGTATGATAAGTCATTACAATATGACATATCTTAAACACAGACACATTAAGTGCATGGACTAATATCGGTAATAGAGTGAATATGGTAGTCTCTATGTGATTTTCTTATAGGTACCAGGACCAGGTGTGACCGAGTTTAAATAATATGCCAATGCAACAAAAATGACCATGAGTTGGCTGAAACCAAATAAATAAATTGATATTAAATGTCTAGCAATCATTATTTTACAATGTATGCACAAATTACTAATGAGACAATGAAAACCACTTTGGATAATCTGACAGCTAAGAAAAGTTAAAGTACTCACTTTATCATTTCCTCTTCACATTGTTTCAATATTTCAGCAGCCTGACTCTGTAATACACAAACCGTGATACAAAGTTATGGAATACACATGTATGATACAGAGGTAAAGTAGGACTTATTTGCTGTCTCAGAAATGCATGTATTAAGTTAGCCTCAAGAGACCTGCAAACATGGTAACCACTTTGTTCTTCAATCAATGGATACACATTTCATTTTTGGTATACAGCAATTAATCAATTTATTTTTCATTTTTGTGATTCACAAATGACCCATGAATAGCCACTGATAAAACATGTTTGCTATTTGTCCAGGAAGTGTGAAAAGAAACACCCAATATTTGTAAATATGGTACTTTGAAATGACTCAAATCATAGGATCATACTCACCACTTCTTTAGTATTGAGCAATACTAGTGTTCCTATGGTTAGATGTAACTTGACTGGATTCTGAAAAAGAGTTTCATCCAAACCACGGTCCTGTTTAAAAAAATATACAAAAGTTAATAACTGTAATTTTTCATCGATGCATGTAGAAATGTTCAAAGTTTCATAATTTGAAGACTATCATAAAGACTAACTTCATAAAAAACAGATTTACTCCCTGTTTAAGGCCACACATGTGTGCATTCCATTGTTCTGTTATTGTACTTCTATTCTGGGTGGGTTTTACCTACATTGTGTGCAGTGTACAGTATATGTAGTTCTAAATATATCCATTGTCAACTGCCATAAATATATTACTTTATCACAAAAAATATTTAAATATTTTAAGCATGACACATCATTTTGATAATTGTTTGAAATGTACTCAATTATACAACTGGCTTTTAGCAAATCTCAAAAAACTAGTTATCTATGTGTAAAACAATTTGTTGTGTGATCCCTCCTTATGTACATGCATCAAAGAGCCTCAGGAAAATTTTCAACTGCATCTAAATTTTGTGTTTTCCTTAATTTATGAAAAATATATATACCGGTAATGAATTCTATTTATTTATTTATTTTTTTAAAATGAAAAATGCAACAAACAGTATATGAATGCAAATTAGTTGACATAGATACAATAGATTCACACACTGGATTAGATTTTGGCTCATGAAAATGATTCAATATTTTGTTTTGTATAAAACTGTGTGTGAATGCAATGTAATAGTAAAGTAGAATACTGTTCTAACCAGTAAGGGACAACGTCAAAAGATCGATGTCGAATAAAAAACTTATTTGCTTTAGTTTGGGAGTGGGGGGTGGGGGGTGATTTTGATCTCAAAAAGTTTCCATCCTACAAAAACGATTTTATTTTTCAATGAAGTCAAACAAAATCTTGGAGTATTTGTAGTTGGTTTTTCTCTATCCAATCATGGACTAAAATAACAGAAAATACATCCAAGACAAGAAAATGGTTTGGTCCGAGTGTAAATATGTGCGTCAAATGAGGTCAGTGACAACCAAGGACATTAAACTTTTGATGTTGTCCCTAAAGCAGTAGAGGAACTTGAGTGAATATATTGTAAACTGCTTTAATTTAGAAAAAAGACAAATTTCCATGAATTGTGAAAGTGACTTTCATGAAATTTTATCTTCACAAATGACATATCCTCGGGGGCGGAGCTACGTCACAGACGTTCCACGTTGCTAAGACGCGCACCACTGTACCATGCATTTCTATGGGCTCTGTGCGCGCTGCTGTGGAACGCTGGTCGAGCAGATGAAAATTCGAGAAAACAATACAAACTCAACTTTGAAGTAATCCCGAACAACCAAATTCATATATGTTACACACGTAGGGCTAATCTTGTTGCACTGTTCAGAGGAGTCTCAACAGTCACCCCAAAGTACCGTTTTCTGCGAGTTTTGGGCCTTTGTTTTCACCGCCACGGGTTGCCAGGCGGTGAAAATGCCCGGATGTCCGCCCCCGAGGATACTGTAAAATATTTTATTTTAGCTAGAATTAATTTTCGCTGAAAATAATTTTTGAGTGTTTTTGCATGGAATTTATTTTCACTCATTTTGACAAGTTTAATGTAAAATATAGGAAAAAAGGTATATTCGCTGGATTTTATTTTAACTGAAACATTCCTTCAGCAAAAATTAGTTGCAAGCGAAAATAAAGTATTTTACAGTAATAATGAAAATTCCTAGAAATGAAATAGAGTATGACAACGTAAGTAACTCACCCCAAAACACTCTCTCAACACATCTAGTTTAAACTCTTCAAAACCATTTTTAACTTGTTCACTATTCAGTGGCACTGACAGAAAATGTGTAAACTGTTGCCTCTGTCTGGCGGAGTCAATCAAGACATCTATCCTGGTCTTTGCAGATACGATTCTTTTTCTTTCATTACCAGTTATCACTATGAAGTCAAGCACATAACAAGAGAATAAATCAATGATATGTCAACTTTAGTATATTTATTTTTATCAGGAATTCAATTTGTTGACGGTATAAATGAATCAGTCAAAACAAGTCATTGAAAATGACGCAGTCCCCGTTAAATTAAGTTCTTTTTGTGCTCGTCATATTAAAGCGGAGGGGTTGTCGCGAGCGTGTTTTTGAAACTTGAGTTCCAAGTGGCATATACAACAGATTGTTTATTTACATCAAAACACGTGTTCCGTGTAGTAGTAATATGGCTAAAAATAAAAACAGCCGTTATTCGGCCATCTTTGATCTGATTATGAAACAGACTGATATGTATGATGTGGAATTGTGGAAATATAGTAGTAAGGCCAAAAAGTCAGATGGCTGTCAATCGGCCATCCTTGACCAGATTTTGAAACAAATTGTCATGGACATGCATCCTAACATGTATAAAGTACATGTATGTGCCAAATTTTAATGAAAACTGACAGAGCACGTCCAAAATACCGCATAAAAAAAAAAAAATGCCTGCCAGTCGACCATCTTTGATCCAATTGCGAAATAAATGGTCCTGAACATGTATCCTAACATGTATAATCTATGTATCAAGTTTGAATGACAACTGACAAAGCATTGCCAAAATACAACATTTTCAAAAAACAAGATGGCTGCCAGTCGGCCATTTTGAATCAAATTGCTAAACCACTGCATGTGCATATGTCCCACATAAGGTACTAGACACATGCAAAGAATGAACTGGATTGGTCCACAGGATTCTGAAATATGACTCTGGACAGACTGAGGGACGGACGGACACACGGACAGACGGACAGACTCAGGAACTCACAGACAGTCAGGAACATGTATCCTAACATGTATGATCTATGTACTAAATTTGAATGAAATTGTGAAATAAATCGTCATGGACATGTATCCTAACATGTTTAATCTATGTACTAAGTTTGAATGACAACTGACAAAGCATGTCAAAAATACAACATTTTCAAAAAACAAGATGGCTGCCAGTTGACCATTTTGAATGGAATCGCTAAACTACTGCATGAGCATATGTCCCACATAAGGTACTAGGCACATGCAAAGAATGAACAGAATCGGTCCAATGGATTCTGAAATATGACTCTGGACAGACTGAGGGACGGACGGACACACGGTCGGACGGACGGACTCAAGAACTCACGGACGGTCGGGGACATGTATCCTAACATGTATGATCTATGTACTAAATTTGAATGAAAACTGACAAAGCATGTTCAAAATACGACATTTTCAAAAAACAAGATGGCTGCCAGTCGGCCATTTTGAATGGAATCGCTAGATCACTGCATGTGCATATGTCCAAGGTGGTGTGGGTCACGACGTCACTTCCGGTTTACTTCCTACTTTGCGTGTATAATGGCGGCCTCGAGCAGAGTTTTGTCACGA